CGTCGTCAACCGTGATAGATAATTCCACTACAGCCAATTGGGATAAATCCTGTTTACCAGATACTATACAAACATTCGATGAATATAAAAGTCTATATGCATTATCAATTAATGATCCAAATCATTTCTGGAAAATGGCTGCTGAACGTTTAGATTGGTATCAAGTTCCAACTAAAATAAAAAATACGGAATTTGATTGTCGTTCATCACGTGGTGTCGAAATCAAATGGTATGAAGATGGTATAATAAATGTTTGCTATAATTGTCTTGATAGACATATTGAAAAAGACCCTAAAGCAGCTAAAGAAGTTGCAATTATATTTGAACCAGATACTCTAACAGAAGTACGACATCATATAACCTATGCTGAACTTTTACGTGCAGTAAAAAAGTTTGCAAATGTTTTAAAAAAACATGGAATAAAAAAAGGTGATGTGGTAACAATTTATATGCCAATGGTTGTTGAAACCTGTATAGCATTATTAGCTTGTGCACGTATTGGTGCCATACATTCCGTTGTATTTGGTGGTTTTAGTTCAAATAGTGTTGCTGAACGTATATCCGATTGTCAATCGATAGCAGTTATAACAAGTGATTTTGGTGTACGTGGTGGAAAATGTACACCATTAAAAAGTAAAATTGATCAAGCTTTAACAATGGAACAATGCAAAACAGTAAAAACTGTTCTTGTCTTCCGACGAAATCAAGGTATACTTCCATTACAAGATGATTGCGTAGAACAACGTAATTCACTTCAATGGACCGATGGAACAGATTTTTGGGTACATGAAGAATTAGAAAAAGTCGATGATAATTGTGAACCTGAACCAATGAATGCTGAAGATCCATTATTTATTGTAAAATTTAATATTTTAATCAAAAAAAATATTTATTTATTTATTTATTTTAGCTTTATACAAGTGGTTCAACAGGTAAACCTAAAGGAATTTTACATACAACTGGTGGTTATTTAACATATGCAAGTTTAACATTTAAATATACATTTGCTTATCAACCAGGCGAAATATATATGTGTACTGCTGATGTTGGTTGGATTACAGGTCATTCATGTAAGTTAAAATAATAATTTTTTTTTTGAATGAAAATTACAAAGAAATCTTTTTTGAAAATAGATGTTCTCTATGGACCATTATCTAATCGAGCAACAACTGTTGTTTTTGAAGGTATTCCAACTTATCCGGATGTTTCACGTTTTTGGAATATTATCGATAAACATCAAATAAATATATTCTATACTGCACCAACAGCTATTCGTTCATTGATGGGACATGATGATTCATTTGTTACACGAACAAGTCGTAAATCATTGCGACTTTTAGGTACAGTTGGTGAACCAATTAATCCTGAAGCATGGAGATGGTATTATACAGTTGTTGGTAATAGTCAATGTTCTATTGTTGATACATGGTGGCAGGTTAGTTTGATATTTTTGACCACTATACATTCATACAGATTTTTTTATTCTAGACTGAAACAGGTGGTTTTATGATAACACCTCTTCCAAATGTTTGGCCACTTGAACCCGGTTCAGCAACACTTCCATTTTTTGGTATTCAAACTCAATTGCTCAGCAAAGATACAAAACAACCAATGCAACCACCAGCTGAAGGTGCATTATGTATACGAGATTCATGGCCCGGTCAAGCACGTAGTCTCTATCGTAATCATAAACGTTTTGTTGAGGTTTATTTTGAACCATATCCTGGTTATTATTTTTCTGGTGATGGATGTGAAATCAAAGAAAATGGTTATCATTGGATTACTGGTCGAGTGGTGCGTGCAAAAAAAAAACTTTTTTTTTCAAATTTATCATACTTATTTTTAGGATGATGTCTTGGTGATATCTGGACATAATATTGGTACAGCTGAAGTAGAATCGGCTCTTGTTCAGCATCATGATGTGGCTGAAGCAGCTGTTGTTGGTTATCCTGATGTAATAAAAACTCAAGGAATGTATTGCTTTGTTACATTAAAAGATAATGTTGCAGAATCCGATGCATTAAAAAGAGAACTTATTAAAACTGTTCGTGATAGAATTGGTGCACATGTATTCCCTGACATAATACATTTTGCACCTAATTTACCTAAAACTCGTAGTGGTAAAATAATGCGACGTATTTTACGTAAAATTGTTGAACCTGATATACTCAATCTCGGTGATACATCAACATTAAATGATCCAAGTGTTGTTCAAGAATTAATAGAAAAATCTCCACGAACAAGAAGAACCTAGGAAAAAATTACATAGACTTTCTTATGATTATTATTATTATTATTATTTTAAATTAGTCTTGTACTCGTTCTGTTCCTCTTTTCTTTTTTTTCATTTTTAAAATCAATTATATTAACATATCATATTTCGATGTATTTTTCTTATCCAGATATTTGGTTACTAATGATTGTTGTCTCTTTAGGAAAAAAAATTAGTTTTTTTGTCTCCATAGTATTTTCTGTGTATTTTATTGCTTTAAATAATCGTGAGTTTTTAAAACAAAAAGGAACACGTTGAATAGATTCAATAGATTAACGACTGATTTTATGAGTTGTTACTACATCATAACGATTACATTGAACCAATGGTTTATGAAAAGAAGCAATATAATTAAACAATTCATATTTCTAACAAGTGAATTCGATTTTCAGTATACATCATTGACATATTAAAGAACTACAAAAGATTTTAGCAATGAATATAACAGAAATGGAATAAAAAACAAATGTTGGGTGTGGTATGGGTGTCTCTTCATTCACACCCACAACCAGCCTTATTCCTCACAATGGAAACTTGATTTTGATCAGAGATGACCACTCTGACTTCGACGCTAAAGCGGGTAAAAAGATCAAAAAAAGTACTCCCAATTGTATTTTTTCGGTTGTCTCTAGCACTCTTTTAAATAGACTTTGACTCTGATAAATTATTACAGAAAATAGTATGTAGATGAGAGAAAAATCGAGTTTTTCTATTAAAAAAACTAACTATTATGTTCAATGGAGCAGAGCTGGAGTGGCTCGTCACTGATTCTGATTTAATAAGACTAAACAGAAAAGTAACGTTATCTACTTAATTTCTATGTTGTAGTTAGTTTCGTATAATTCATAATAATCGATATTCTTCAAATAATCATATCATATGATCACTTTCTTTCGCGCAGTTGTGAGAGTTTTACGAAATGTCTGTAGAATAATTTGATAGATCGAGAAGGTCTGATTCAGAATGGTGTGGGTGTTAATGTAGATGCTGTATTCACCCACATCCTCAATGTATGTAGTAAGAGACTTATTTTTTCAAAATAAAGTACTAGAACAGTTCCCTAAGTATTGGTTCGGTGTTAGACTTCTTTAGGGAATTAAATAAGCTTTTCTTTCACTTCAAATTTTCATTTATCGGCATAGAAGCAGCGAGACTAAAAGCTCTTCAAGTGATTGGCGAAGAAACAGAGAAGAGAAAAATATACAACATCCTCTTTTCATCATTGTAATTTTTATTATTCACATACTCTCTTACCAACATATTGTCACTGACTGTATCGATAAGAACGAAAAAAAAGTGGATGACAATAATAAAAATACATTATGTTTTACTTTTTGTTTTTTTGTTGCCAATGTATATCTTTTGTTGATCACTAATGATCGTCATATTTGCATACTTTCAGACGATGCCAAACAAAGCCATGTGCATAGTTGGTTAATGCTTCGATCAACTTTCATTTTTTGTTGCGGGACGATTTTATACTTTGTAAGCAACATACATACACTTTTTACTTTTCAACGACAAAAAAAGTGTTTATGTCTTTAAAAAATCTTTGGAGATGTGTCATGCTATGTTGCTCATGACCAAAAAGGATAAAAGCAATAGATGCATGCTATATTCTTATTTTATGAATCTTCATTGCGTGCACATCCAACATTCCTAGTTGATAAATAATGAAATCATCACTAGTTCTCTACTAAAAGCTCTCCTCCAGATATAAATGAAATTGACAATTCATTTGTGAAAGAATGACGGATGGTAAGGCTTTTATTACGTTTGTTCATTATGAGTGTACGTTTTCTTTGTCGTCAAGTATATTTCAATGCAATCACATGCTGCCTACGAATATTTTATTTTCACAATAAAGAAAATCACGCTTGTATATAAAATCTATTCAGAAAAATAAAATTCTTTATTGTAAAATGTTCTTTTATGTTTTGTGTCACATTTTATGTCATTGATTATTATATCGTCGCAAAGGAAAGAAAACTGAAATTATTTTGATTGTCTAGTTTTACAAGAAAGATTCCACTGGGCAGTAGTTTTTAACTTATTAGAAAATTAATGATATATTGACACATTTGTATACAGATCAAGAATTATTATAATGACTATCATTCATACTTATTTGGAATTTATAATTCATAGTAGATAGAAAATGATGCATGATCAAGTCTTTTTTTTCGTTCATTTGATGACGAATGCACTTTTTTTAAAACACAAATCTCAGCCATCAACATACATATTGTCAACTTGTGCGATTCATCAAATATTTGATCATATAAAAAAAAGCTTTTTCCAACTTGCAGATTCTCAAACAACAAACGTCACTTAGCAATGTTTTTCTCTATGAAAACAAATAAACTAATTCTTTTTCGAGGACTATTTCGGTGTTTGTTTTTAATAGCAACATCATAAACAGTTAAAAAGAGAAAAAACAACATTTTTAAAGGAAGTAGACACCTATAAAAAGAATCATTTTTCATCATAAATTCACTAGTAAATTTTATACAGTAACTTCGATTCAAACCATTCAGGAAGCAAACAATGAGTAGAGAAAACTCAACAATAAATGCATCAGCAATTTCAAAAGGTACAGAAGGTTGTCGACGTATCAATATCCAACAGATGCAAAATGTTCTTCTAATCTGGTTAGATAGTAACATTGACGAGAACAACGATTATTATCAAGATACAATCATACAATTGCGACGGGTAGTCAACGATACTAATACATTTACGGATGTTGATCAATGCTTTGAGTTCATTGAAACAGTCGTTGACAAAAAGGCTTGTATGATCATATCTGGATCAGTTGGACAATATTTTGTGCCATTTGTGCACAATATGTCTCAAATTGATTCGATTTTTATTTTTTCTGACAACCAAAAACATCATGAACAATGGGCCAAAGATTGGCTCAAAATAAAGGGTGTCTTCACAGATATTACACCCATCTGCGAAGCACTCAAATCGGCAGCTCATCAATGTGAGCAGAATGCTATTCCCATGAGTTTCGTGGAATCAAATAAAACATTGGATCAATTAGATCCTTCTTTTATGTACACTCAAATCATCAAAGAAATCGTATTAACCATCAAATTCAAAGAAAACCATATCCAAGATTATTTTGATTATTGTCGTGATGCTTTTGCTAGTGATACAAAAGAAATCGAAAATATTCAACAATTGGAACGTGAATATCATAACAAAACACCAATTTATTGGTATAGCTGTCAAATGTTCTTATATCCCATGCTCAATCGTGCATTACGACTGATGAGTGGTGATATCATTACACGTATGGGTTTCTTCATTGGTGATTTACATCGCCACATTGAGAAATTGTATCAGGAACAATATGGTGGTACAACTCCTGCTAACTCCTTCACCGTTTATCGTGGTCAAGGTTTATCTGCAGGAGATTTTGAAAAAATGATAAAAATCAAAGGTGGTCTTATTTCATTCAACAACTTCTTATCTACCAGTAACGATCGTGAAGTTTCCTATGCTTTTGCTGAAAGCAATCAGACCAATCCAGGTTTAGTTGGAATACTTTTCGTTATGAAAGTAGATCCATCTCGATCAACATTACCGTTTGCTTCCATTACTGGTATCAGTCATTTCGAAGAAGAAGAAGAAGTCTTATTTTCGATGCATAGCGTTTTTCGCATACATGACATCAAACAGATGGGCGAAAATAATCGTTTATATGAAATTAATTTGACACTTACTGCTGACAACGATCCAGAGTTGCACAGACTTACTGATCACATTAGACAAGAGAGTTTTCCAGATGAAGAAGGCTGGTACAGATTGGGTTCGGTATTACGTAAAATCGGTCAATTTGACAAAGCTGAAAACATTTATCAAGTTTTACTTGATCAGACAAACAATGAGGAAGATAAGATACCTTTTTATGTTGGTCTTGGTTTAGTAAAGAAGGATCAAGGAAAATATCAAGAAGCACTTACATTCTATGAAAAAACACTTGTTATTGGACAAAAGACTCTTTCTTCCAATCCTCCTTATTTGGCAGTAGTCTACAACAACATTGGTGAAGTGCATAGAAACATGGGCAGTAATACAACAGCACTTTCTTATTATGAAAAATCCTTTGAAATTCGAAAACAATCACTTCCTCCCAATCATCCTGATTTGGCTAAGTCCTACAATAACATTGGTTTAGTGCTTAGAAACATAGGTAATTATCTAAAAGCACTTTCATCTCATGAAAAAGCCCTTGATATTCAACAACAATCACTTCCTCCCAATCATCCTGATTTGGCGATGTCCTACAACAATATTGGTAATGTGCATATAACCATGGCTAATTATCCGAAAGCACTTTCATCTTATGAAAA